CCCATTTCATATTACCTATTTTTTATTTTACTGTTTAAGTGATTTATAGTTTGGTTTCTCATGTCATATGTAATATTTATGCTTGTATGTCTAGAAATACAATTATCTGGGATGCTATAAAGCTATAAAGAGACAGCCAACATAAATTTTAGCAAGACCCCCAACACCCGCTGGGGACAGGTGGGAAAACTAACGCAGCTCCCCGTTGGAAAGGCTATGCGAGCACCTGTGACAGATGAGTGAGGGCGGGAGGCTTTTCAAGGAAGACCCATAGTACGGCCAGAGCAGCTCTGGAATGCACCCCATAATGGCCAGAGGCTCCAGCAGACAGACTTTCAGGTGCTGATGCTCGGATTGTAGCAATCCAATAAATTATATCAAGTTCAAAGGCTAATCCAAATTCATACTTTCAGATGAAAGATGTTTATGAAAACAAGAAAATGAATCAATGAAGCTAGTTTTGATCCTCTGCGGGCATCTGTTAAAATGAAAAATACTTTTTGTGGGAGGAAGGAAGGGAGAGAGGGAGGGAGGAAAGAATGGATAGGAAGGGTAGCTCTGGGGATTTGGGGGCAGTGAAACTCTTCTGCGTGACATAGTAAAGGTGGATACATGCATTTGTCAAACATGTAGAACGTGCGACATCTAGGTAGACTCTCGTGTACACTGTGGACATGAGGAACACTCAGGCGTCATCTAGCTTTCTCCCTCCTAACAAAGTTGCTGCTCATTTAAGGTGTTAGTAAGAAGGGAAACAAAAAGGTGTAGGGAAGCTCCCTGTACTTCCTGTTCAATTTTTCTGTAAAACTAAAACTTACAAAAAAAAAAAAAAAAGAAGTCTGTTAAAAAAGAGTAAGATGGGGCTGGGGATTAGCTCAGTGGTGCTGCCACCTGCCTTGCAAACACAAGGTCCTGACATTGATTCCTGGTGCAAAAAAAAAAAAAAAATGAGTAAGTTGTGGCAATGAAAATTTTTAATATATTGTTAGCTATGCAAAGTGGAATGCAGTGAGGCTGGGAAGAAGAACTGAGGCCCACCACACAGACATGCTAGGCACCAGTTTGGAAGATTTGCTACTCTGGGCCCTGAGAGTCTGCTATGCATCCCAAACCCTGGCAAGTGCCATCCAGTTCCTCAGGTCTTCCTGAGTGTTGCTAGCAGACCTCCTAGGCTTTATGTGGTATGAATCAAAAGGTAAAAATTGGTCCAGCATGGTGGCACATGCCTGTAATCCCAGCACTTGGGAGGCTGAGGCAGGAGGATCGCTGTGAGTTCGAGACCAGCCTGGGCTACATAGTGAGTTCCAGGTCAGTCTCAACTACATAGTGAGACCCTGTCTCAAAAAAAAAATAAATAAATAAAATCACCCTTTTAACTACAGCCTCTGTGAGGGCTGGTTCTCCCTGCTGAGCTCCAGACACATGCGGTATGGCTGATGGTGGGCTTCAGGTAGATGAGAGCCTAGGATGACATAAAAGCAGTATTTACCCACCTGAAAAGATGAAATAATGGCAGGTGGACAGAATGGGTGTGGAGTTTTCAGACACTTTCATGTGAATTAAAAACCTGCATCCATCAGGACTTCAGATGTCTGACACCCCTATGACACACTGAGGCAGGCAGTGGAACCACTGAGCTAAATCCCCAGCCCCATTGTCAACTTTTAATCTACACTCAAGGGGGAGTCTTAAGAACAGCAAGCAGTCCTCCCTTTCCAGCACAGCCTTTGATCACAAATTACCAGCAGAGAAACTTTTGTCCTGGTGATTATAAGAAGACTAAGTAAAGTTTAGCCTAGCTTATTCAACTCTATCATTCTTCTTCTATGTTGCAGTGGAAAATGAAAATTAGCCTGACAGAGTTAATGGTCCAAATGTACAAGCTTCTCACTGCCATAGTAGAAATAAACACAAATACCCTCATTGCTGTGACCAAGTTTTAGGACTCAGGCCCATACTCCATTAAGAGGGAAAACTTTAAAGGAGTGGAGTCAACATATCAGTGGAGCAAGTCACAGTCGTCGATGCCAACTTCTTCTTGAAATGGGTGATCCATTCATGTTGCAGCAGTCTACAAACCCAGTGCCAGGAATTCTGGGACTGCCACCTCCCTCATTTCATCTTGGGGAACCAGCAGTCAGACCAAGAGGAAGTCCGGGTGCTGGAAATGGGAACCTGCAAGGACCAAGACACATGCGGAAAAGCAGAGTGGAAATTAGCCGAGTTGTTCACATCATGGATTTCCAGTGAAGAAAAAACTTGAGGCACCAACTGGAGGAACCAGTTGATAATATAATTCTTTATTTTTCCATAAGGCTCAGCAAGCTTGAGGACAGCACTGTCAGAGTAGCCAGAATGGCTACTAAATTGCTGAGACGTATCACGAGTCCATGTTCTTGCTTTTGATCAAACTTCTGATCTGGCTTTCCTTCAGGTTTCTTTATTCTTTTATATTTCTGGGATAAATGAACTCTCACTAACTTGCCAAATACTAACGCTGGAGTATTCAGCTGGAGGAACCATTTGGAGTTCTTTCCAATCATCTGATTCTAAATACAATTAATGAGGCATTTATTGAAATCGCAAATGAAGATGCTCAGGCTGCAGTGGATTAATATACTACACCAACGTTAGCAGATTTCCTCATTATCAGAAGTTAAAGAATTTCTGAATAAATTGGCAGAAGAACAGAGGCAGAAGAAAGATGCTTAACATATGCAAGAAGTTTGATTTCAAAGAAAACAATGGTCCTTTGTAATGTTAACCTTTTAAAAATACAATACAGATAGTTAGAAGGAAAAAAAAAATCAGGTTAGAAAAAAAACCTATGTCTTACCTGAAACTTACCAAACCGTTGCTTGAACCCAGAAGGCTGCATTTTAAAGCAACACCACAGTTAATCCCTATGTGCCCTGAAATCTGACTGCAGACATATTTCCAGCCTGTAGCCTGGCTTTTGCAGATGATAGTTGCTCAATACAGAAATAAATTCACAGAGGAGGCAAGGAAGCTCAGGCCACTGAGCAGGGTAATGAGAAGTCATTGGGCAGTGTGAGGATGTTTCAGGACCTAAAAGCTACCTGTGTTTTAGGCAGGCATGAAAGTAGAAAGGTGATGTGTGCTTCATGAATCACCCCATGGAAAACATACAAAATTATCTAGAATCTTACAGTCTGGTTAAATTCATTGGATAAATCAGGGGGAAAGTACTTGGGGCTGGGCAGACTTCCTAGCAGTCCCTTATGAAAGAAAGTGTGACCCATCGGCCCACTTCCCTCAGGAGTCAGATATGTAGGTTCAGTTGCAAACCTGCAGTTGTCTCTAAGGCTCCAAACCCAGCTAGATTTTGGGCTATAGGAATAATATGCCGCCTCTAAGGTTTACAGAGTTTCTTGGATCAAAACAAAGAACTCAAGAAAACTCTACAAACAAGGGAGTGTTAACCACAATGCAGTATTTATAACTTAGATCAGATGTATTGGTTTGCATATTTACTCAACAAATGCTTGCTGAGCACTGACTATGTCCTAGACATTAAAGATACACCTGGGAATAACCAGACAAACAAGCCTCTGTTCTCATGGAATTTATAGGAAGAAGACAGAAAATAAACAAAATTAATTAAATACCTTTGAATGGTGATAAGTGCTTGGAAGGAAATGAAACAGGACTCTTGTAGAAATACTCTTAATGAGGTGGTGGGGCAGGCCCCTTTGGGAAGGCCATATTTGAATTGAAGCCTGAATGACACAAAGAGCCAGCCCTCCGAAGATCTAGACCCATGAGTGCAAAGGCCCTGGGGGCAGGCTCTAGGAGCAGAGAATCCTTGTGATTGGGACCCAGTGACAAAAGGACACAAGAGTACAAAAAGGAGAATGGAGAGGAAAAAAGTTAGGATCATTTTTAAAGTTTAATGTAACCCTAGAGGGGCTTTAAATAGGACAGCAACATACCTGATTTAATTTTTGCAAGAATGTATGCTAAATTCTTCCACTGAGGGGGAGATTTGCAAGAGTTATTTTATTTTAAATTATATATATAGTGTATTTATAGTGTACTTATAGTATTTTAAACTGTAAATATAGTATATATAATATTGATAATATATAACATAATATTTATATAATTTAAAGAATCTTATATTCTGAATAGTTGGTAGAGGGGTAAGAGAGAAACTGGATACATTGTAAAGGGTTCTGTTAGACTCTGGAGGACTTGGACTTGATGGAGTCAGAGATAAATGGATAAAATCACAACTTGTTTTAGAGATAAAATAATAGGACTTGCTGATGAAGAATTGTGGAAAAAAATAAGAACCACAGATGTCTTGAGTTTTGGGTCTGAGCAACTGAGCCTGATGGTGTGAACACTGACATGAGAAAGTCTGAGGTGAAAGAGAACAAGGGAGCTATTTGAAGAAGAAATTAAGAATTCTGTGTTGACCACATTAAGCTCTAGCTGGTTACCCTTCTTCCAAAGAGGATGTGAAGTAGAAACTTGGATATAGAAGTTTGGATCAGTGTTGAGATCAGGGCTAGAGGTACAAATATGAAAATAAAGAGACTAGAGCTGGTGAGTGTGAAGCCTGGAGTCTCTGTCTCTAATTGGTGAGTGCAGCCCTCTTATGTTTATTTCCATTACTGATGTATTTCTATTTATTTTTACCTTCTTATTGTGAGCCTTAACCATATCGAACACTCATATTTCTGACCAAGTAGATATTTGGATGGGAAAGTAGTTTAGTTTGCTTTTCCACAAACTAAAAATTAAAAGTTAACTATTGATTAACACTTTGTTAATTGGAATTGTTTTAAATGGGTTTGTATATATAATGGAAGCTCTACAGTTTTTTTAAAAACATTTTTAATTGAGATTTGGATCACATAACAATTCACCGCTTGAAGTATACAATTCAGTGATTATTAGTATACTCGTGTAGTTATGCAAACATCACCACAACCAACTGTAGAACAATTTTATCATTCCTCAAGAAACCCATAACCATGAGCAGCAATTGCCCATTACCCCTGTCCCAGCCTCTGGAAGCCACCATTCTACTTTCAGTCTCTGTGGATGTGCCTGCTCATATAAATCAGTGGTACAGAATTTGTCCATAAATGGCTTCTTCAATGTTTGCAAGGCTCCTCATTACTGCAGTTGGTGCCAGTACTTTGTCCCATTGTATAGCTGTTGCCACATTTTATTTGTCTATTCACTGGGTGATAGGCCATGGGTTGTCTCCACTGTTGGGCTGTGCAGTTTGTCTCCTCTGATGCTTCACTGGGAAGAGCTATCCTGGAGGTGGAACCCTGTGTTAGGGGCTGGTGTTGGCAGGTGTCTGTCCTCCTGGAATCCACCCACAGGAATGCTCGAGACTGGGAATGAAGAAGAGTGCAACTGAAGTGAGTGTGAACTTTTCTCAACACACTGGTCAATTGAGCTTTAAAATCTACTGTGAGAAAAAGACAGTCAAACCTGACAAGCCACAGTCTGGCTTCAGTTGGATCCACTTTAGGAAAAAAACCATGACTCAATTTTGCCCCCTTGTGCAACATTTTTCTAATTTGATAAATTTATCTTCATTGTGTGATCAGATAGTGACAGCAAAAATATTATTTTTGGTCACAAATTATAGATGCATCTTGGAACCATCCTAATACCAGGTGGAGGAGGTAAAGCACTAAACATCAGTTCAGTCCAGTTCTTGAGGCTCCCTTCCTCCTGGGATCCACTGTAGACTCATCGGGCAGTACGTCTCCTGTTTCTCTATTTCCTTCCTGTTGTCTGGGGCCAGGCAGCGAAGCTCAGTGGAGAGCAGACATTGCTTGCCCAAGGGTAGCAGCCCTAAGCCCCAACTTTCCAAAACTGTGGGCACTGTGAAGATAAGGTAACCTCCAGTGTCAAGCTCAATCCCCTAGAAAAAAAGAAAAACAGAAGTGATTGTGTTCTCTGGACGGCAAGGCTCTGTACTCAGAGTGTCTCATGTTTTCAAAGTAGGAAAGTGTCCACAGTTAATATTTGGATGGGCCCACACTGCACGGGCCTGCCCCCTCCAGACAAAGGGCCCTTGCTGTGCACCTGTGGAGAGGGAGGGGACCTGGAAAGGCAGGGCCTGCTGCTCTGTGCACCTCCTGTTTGAAGCATAGTTTTGCAAAGGGAGCGGTTCTGGAAGGAAAGCAGAGCATACAGAGACTGGAGTGTTCTGATACACATTTGTTCTTGAGACCCTCTGGAAGGCTCACTGCCAAGGACAACACTGACCACAGAAGAATGCCGGCCAGCTGATGAGCTAGGCTGATACAGAAAAGGCGAGTGAAAAGGCTGCAGAGTGAGGCAGCCTCCAGGCCAGCACCACAGACGTGGTGAGGATGTCGCTAAGTGCTACAACCAAGTCCTGCTGCTCAGGGAACTCAAAGTATGGGCTTCCATGGGTGGAGATGTGGAGGATAGAGATGATGCTGGACTGGAGAACTTGGTGCAGGGAGATGAGGGAAGAGCCCCAAGCGATACCTGAACAGAGTTCAAAGGACAAGAAATGACCAGAACAGCAACACACAGATGGGTCAGAGGGCTGGGGAACGAGGGGCAGTGGTCTACACAGAGATGGTACAGGCAAGGCAGGAGTCATGTGGCCACATGGCACATGCATGTGTGCATGTGCATGTGGATGTGGATGTGAGCAGGAATGGGTCCAATGATGTGTTTGTTAGCAGGCAAGTGAGTGGACAATCTGCAACATCCTATGAATATTTTAACAATTTTCTCTATCGAGAAATTTTCAACTGTCAGTCTCCCCACTAGATTGTAAAATTTGTGTTCATCCTGATGAATTTTAAGACTTGAACAAATAAACAGATGGATTCCTTGCTCCTAAAGAGAATTATATGAAGATGCAAATATGTCAAATTTGCCAGTTTTTCAACTTTAATTGAGTTTATTGGTACATTTTAGGGATACAGTACAGTTGCATTCATTGTTGGGATCTTGTACCTTTACATGACAAGTCTTGGTTCTCATTTTTTCCCCTTGTCTCTGCCCTCCCTTCACCCCCTCTTCCCCTCCCCATCTACAAACACTTTATTTTGATCTTTTCGTTATCTCACATTTTTTTCTTTTCCCTTATTACCCTTCCCCTACCCATCCCACCTTCCCTACACCTTTAGCTCCTTTCTTCCCAATTCTAAGTGTCAGTAATCTTATTAGGATCTTCTAATAAGAAACCAGAGAAACTATTTAGTACTTACATATATGTGTCTTATTTATTTCACTTAGGAGTATATCTTC